ATCATTTTTCGCAAGGTTTTATAATTGACATGACCTAAACGTACATGCCATAAATCATTTGACTCAAGTAAATAAGAAGAAGCTGAAGTTTTATTATTAGTTTCAACAACTATTACATTCAGCTTAAAAAGGCCCTCAGTAAGGTAACCTTTTCCTACAAACATTTCATTCTGACTAATCACTACCTTGTCAGATACAAAAATGCACTTGAAACCGTGCTTTACAAGAAGTCCAGTAGAGACTAAGTTCTTCCTAATCTCGGGAACATGAAGGACGTTGTTCAAAGTCATGACCTTGCCAGAAGTCATCTTGAGAAATATCTTACCGTATCCTTCAATTTTTGCTGTAGCAGCATTTCCCATAGAGAGCGTCTCTTCGGGTCCAGCAGAAGCATATGTAGAAAATGCTTCCCTCACAGCACAAACATGGCGAGTGGCTCCAGAATCAATCCACCACTCCTTTGGGTTTCCTACCAGGTTGCATTCAGAAAGCATGGCGCACAANCAAATCACACTTATGGATGCTTTGTTTGTAGTTAAAAACAATGCAGAATAAGGAGGACAACTCAGAAGTCGAATGGAAATTCTGAGAGGAAGGAATGCAAAGTATAGCCAATGTTGAATTCTTACTGAAGAGAATATCAGATTGCAATTCGTTTTTCCAGTGTATACGCAGTGTATACAGAGTGTATATCTAGTATATACAGAGTGTATATCCAGTGTATACAGAGTGTATATTAAGTGTATACAGAGTGTTTTTTCCGATGTATACAGAGTGTTTTTTCCGATGTGTTCTTCTTTCTCTCCAACTTATGCTCTATTTATAGCAGTTATTTGAGAGAAATCCGCCCCCTCCATGGTGCAACAAGCACTAGGCTATCATGGAGGAAGCACTTACATGGTGGAATGTACACTTGCTTGGTGGGAGGAGCACTTGCACCATTGTGGGAGGTGCACTAGGCTGCTTATTGCTTAGTTTTGCAACACAATACATGGATTGGAAAACATCTGTTACAAACACGGATTATATCACGTTAATATTCACTATTAACAAATAAATTTGGTCCAAAAAATTAATCAATCGATCGATCATTTGACCAAATCCGAATCCAAATCCCATTTCCCATTCACTCTAATTTTAAGACTATTTCATCTTAAACAAAAAAAACTCAACACAAAGTACAGGTTAGATTGGATATTTTGGGCCTAATAATGTGAATGTTCCAATAATTTTTGATATCACTCCAGTGGTAAATTTTCCATATCCATCAATTGACACTGCTTGACTATATTTCCAATATGAGTCTAGGAATGAATATCTCGTCAGTAGCTTAAATCGGGAAGCAGTATGAATTAGAGGAAATGCACAATCTGAGTAGATGTAATTTGTTTTATTTGGCTCTATTTCCAAGTTACTATATCAGGCTTGATAAATCTTACCTTATCAGAAAAAAAAAATATCAGGCTTGATGTGGAGAACAAGTTCTAGGTCAACATAAGCTAATGCTTTACGATGTCAGTACTTGTCAGAACATAAACTCGAATAGCCAACCAGCGCAATATTCTTGTTTTTTCCTCAGAAACTAGGTGGAGAATCTGCCTTATATCACTGCTGCAATAACAGCTGTTTTGACCAAGGTATTTGAATTCAAGGAGGCTCTTTAATTTATCCATTTTAACTTCTTAATATTTCTTAAGGCCTTTCATTTAAAATGAATTCAGAATAAAGGCTCAGATGAACTTCAACGTCGGTTGTATTCCAAATGTAGGGTGTGTCTGAATTTGGTTTCAGGTTTTGTTTTGATAAAAGCTAATTTGGATTCTGTTTTTTTTTTTTAAAAAAAACAATTGTATTTCCAATCTAAGGCATTTTAATATTGGTTTTAGGAAACAAATGTTTGAAAGGATATAACTAAAATTTAGAAATGTCGTAAGTGCTTTTAAATTAACTGCTCCTCTGGTTAATGTCGATTTAACTGTTGGATTCAAAGTTGAATACATCCTCCTTCCTCTTATTTACACCAGGGATCAAATTAAGGGTTGGGTTGGGATATGTATTTCTGGTGTATTCTGCATTATTTTTTTTTGTAAATATAAGGTTGCGCACAATAGACCCTTGTGTGGTCCAGACCTTCCCCGGACCCGCGCATAGCAAGAGCTTAGTGCACCGGGCTACCCTAGTAAATATGGTGCTAATTGTGAACATTCTCTAAACATTTTTGATGGTGCTGTTTCGGTATACTGCTTGCTGAAACTAATGTTGTCATTGCAGGTATTTTAAGCTGGTTAAATGCCATTGTTCTGAAATTCGCTGCTTGTGCTGTAATTGCTGGTTTTTAAAGCTGATATAATGTTGCTAATGCCTAATTTTGAATGTAGATAATGTATCTGCTGTTTTTTAAAGCTGCTTCATTGTTGCTGGAAAGGATAAATGCTATTTGAGAAAATTGACAAGATGAGAAACCTAAAAAGGTCAGACTCAATGTATAATTTGTGAACTCGATTTTATTTAGTTTAAAATCAAACTCATTTGAAATAATACATTTCTGTTGGTGGCTTTTCAAGTTGAGTATATAATATTACAGGTTAGAGAGGTGTATATAATTTTCACAATTGATTACAATGACTAAGATGTTAGTAATGGTTATTAAAAAGACTTCTGAAGTCAATGAACTGTATTTTAATCTTAGAATTAAAAATCTCTATTTTATTTTCCTGTCTATTGGTGGGCTTTTATGTTGTCTTTAGCCAATTACTACAACTCACTCACAGATCTTTCTGAAGTCCAGCGCTTACTTTTTTCCCCACTCTTCATCTATTTCTCAATCTATATTAGGAACTTCACGTCAACATGCTGTGATTGGGAAAAAATCGAGAATATCGAAAAGAATATCAATATTGAAAAATCAACTCTATGTTGGTTTGATTTGATTTGTAGATCTAGAAAAATGTAAAATAATTCCATTCTACATATATCTCATCATTAGGTGAAAAATGAAACACAAGTTTTCTGTTCATGTATGTAATAAATAGTTAGAGATAAGTCTTGTTGAAGTTAATTTGATTCTACTGATTGACATCTATATAACTATTGAAGTAGTTAAAAGGTTTTGCTGGTGATTTGATGTTAAATGTTTAAACAAATATCAAGAATATAATATTATAAGCCAGCTCTCAAAACAAGACAGGTGAAGCATATAATATTACAGGCCAGCTCTCAAAACAAGGGACAGGTATATTATTTTCATAATTGATTACAAAGACTAAGAGGTTAATGGGTATTAAAAAAGACTTCAAGTCAATGAATTATAATTTTATCTTGGAATTCTCAATCTGTATATGATTCTTCTTTCTATTGGTGTTGTCTTCAGCCAAATACTTCAACTACTCTCATATATCTTTCTTTCGTTCTGAATCCCAATTCTTACTTTCTTCACCTATTTCTCGAACAAGAGGTTCTAACAGCTTAATCTTCGTTGGTTTACTGAAATTTAAGGTATGATTATATGTTGGAAATCTCTTATTTCCTTCTTTCTGGTGCTTTCTGTCTTCTATTTCCAGTGCAGCTTGATTTATTGTACTCTCTTATTCCGTCTGGTGGTTCTAATTAGTGTTTTAAATATTCAAAGGAAGTTACCCCCGATATTTGGCCGAGTTCAAGACTGGTGCTGAACATAATTTGGAGGTTTCTGAGAGCTCTCACTGCCTACAAAGCTGCTCAGGTTTGTTTCTTATTTGCCTTATGCTTCATCTGTTTTGTGTTTTGATTGGGATTTTACGGATCTGTTTGCTGCGATTTGATCTTCTGTTTTGTTTTGCAAAATGAGATCGTTTTGTTATATTTTCGATAGATTTGGCCTTAATTAGCAACACAATGACATAAGATGTTGAAATGCTCTTCTGTAGTGAGTAATTGACGGATTTTCCTGTCCATGTAACATTTTTTGAAAAATAAAATATATTTTATAACTTTTGAAATGTGTTATTTTTTTAGATAATCTTTTTCGAATAATATTTATAATAAAACTTGGCTAGAACTACATTATTTAAGCTAATTTTTTATTTGGCTAAAAATAATAAAGTTTTAGTTATTGTTTTTTGAATTTGACCTGAAAAATAAAGATTTATATAGTTGAAATAAATAGTCAAGACATCTAAAAGATTTGATTTTTATTATTTTGGCTATAATTTATATATAGCTCTAAATTATGGAGCTCTATATAAATATATATATCGGAAAAAGTAAAAATACACAGTTGAAAAAAATATTCATTGCATCATATTTTAATTATTCTTGTTCAGACTATGTGTTTATGGATTCTCTTCATGTACACGGGGTTATTAATTTAATTATGTCTCTGATGCTAAAAAATTGTTGATTTTGTCTCTATTTGTGGTAGCTATATTTGTTCAATATAATCAAAGGTCATTCTTATATCCAAGAGCTGGAAATAAGTTTATAATCTTATAAACTTCTTTTAAAAATTAATAGTTATGTGGGATAATATGTGTATGATTTCGTGTCCAGACATTTGTGTGATTATGATTGACATTTCTGGTGTTAGGGTCTAGTTGCACAGAAAGTTATTATTCATCAAAATAATTGCTCCACCGATACCATTCGATGTTTGACCTTGATCAATATTTCGAGGATTTAGAAATTAAGATGAATAAATTATTTTCTTGATACATACCAACTAACTCAAGATGAAAATCTTTTATATGCTGAAATATTAGCAAAATTAGCAACAACCTACTGCAATCAACTTGACAACCATAGGCTCAAGCTGAAGTACAGTACTTCCATTGTTTTTGTAGCCCATCCTCTTTGTTCAGTAGATACAACAACAACAACAGACCTTACCCATACCTTCAAGAAGGCAGAAAGACTGTTTCCGAAAGACTCTCGGCTTAGGAAAGATAAAAGGAAGAGACTTTTTTCAGTAGATAACTCCATATTATTTTGATAACTGGGTTGGGAGATTTATGGTCAATCCACCTTTTTTTGCTTGAGGTGTCTGGCTATATGTGCAGTAAACTGTCATCTGCTATATGCTTTATGCTTCTTCTTTCAGATTCTTGTGTTCTTTCTTCTACTTCTTTCTCTTAGTAAATGTTTATGTACTTTTCAGACATCAGATCTCGAGAACTTTAGAGGAAGGGAAGGAAAAGTTACTTAGCGAGAATTACATACATGGAAAAAGGAAAAGAAAATGAAGGAGAAAGAGAGAAAGGGGAAGCAAACAACTCATTGGTATGCCATACAATATTTATTTGTATTAAAACTAATATGAGTTGGATGACTATCCAAGTAATCCTCAAGACACTATAATGTTATTCATATCTTTTGGAAATTGTTGTTCAAAAGTTCATAATCTGATCATGGTATTTTCTTTATATTTACTTTCTAAGGCGTAAAATAGTTATTCGATTGATATCTGGAATATTTAATTAATAATTGTTCTTACTCATATGTAGTAAGGTTCAGAAAGATAAATTGGAAAAACTTTTTTTTCTTTCAGTTGAACTTGGTTCACCCTTATTTTGAGTAAATAATATATATTCCCTCCATTCAAGTTTATGTGAACCTATTTCCTTTTTGGTTCCTTCCAAAAATAATGACCTCTTTCTAAATTTGGAAACAACTTAACTTAAACTTCCAATTCTACCCGAGAAGCTTCTATAGCCACACAAATACTCTGACATGTTTAACATCACAAATTTTAAAAGAATTATAGCCACACAAATATTATGGCTTGTTGAGGACCAGAAATTGTAAAACCCTTCATTTCTTTCTTAAGCTCCGTGTCCAATCAAATTGGAATGGAAGGTGTACAAAGTAAACCATATTTCTTTAACATGCTTGCTTTGTGATATAAGCTATAACTACAGGATAAACATTTAGCTTCTCCAGTATTGCCAGTTAATTTAAAGTAAAATTTATCATGGTGAATATGTGGCATTGAAAATATGATACACATTTGGTCTTTTGGCAGATGACATCTGCTGTATTTCACAAGGACATTGACAATCTGTTGGATTTTATAGAGAGGCTAAAGAATCGACGAGATCAAATTGCTCTTGACATAGATGAAAATGAAAATCTGACAATGCTGCTGAAGTTTATGTCATCATTTTTTCAGCTTTTTTATTTCATTCCCGGTGGTTTGGATGCCGAAAAATCTTGCATGTTATATGAGTTTCATGGTCTGGTTCAGTCACTTTTTCATCAGAATGGAGATGACATGCTGCGTAAATTGACGGATGATGTCCCTACTTGCCTCCTGGAAAATATGGTAAGTTGTCTCAGCTCATATCATAATTCTGAACCAAGTGCCACTATGACTGAGGATCAGTTGGTCGTATCTATGACTGAGGATCAGTTGGTCGTACTTTTGGACGCCCTCCTCGTGTATCTCCATGATCAATCCAAGTTGTTTGCTAAGTTGATTTGCCCATTAAAGACTGAATATGAGGTTCTTCAGAATGTATGTGGTAATTTAAGAGATTTCCATGGGCTAAAAGTAAATAATTACATTGAGTATGAGACAATTGAATATGTCTTGTCTCAGTTTCAACTTATGGCTGAGAGAGTAAAACACTTCTGTTTTGCCTTTTTGGCTTATCATTTTAAAATGATAGCTGACGTCCCTCAAGTCAAGCTAGCTCATCTGCTTCTGGAGATTGTTCCTGTTCAACTGGAGGTTATGCACATATGTTGTACAAATTTGAAAGCTTCAAAATCAGCAGAAGTTGGACACTTCAAGAAGCAGCTCTTAGAAGCCTCTCCCGACATTCTTAGAGAATATCTGATTCATCTACAAGAGCATAGGGTAAATGTTATTACTCTTAGCACTTCAGCTCAAAACATTTATGTCATGATAGAGTTTCTATTGATTATTCTCACAGATTTGCCCAAAGACATTATTCATCACGACAAACTGTTTGTATTCTTGTCACGTGTTGCAACTCTTACTAGGGAGGTATCCATTCTGGTTCGCAACACAGAAGAGAACTCAAGGAATGAAGAGAATACGAATGAAACAAGTTATACAAGTCTAGATTTACGGGGAAATATTGAATTCCTGAAGGAAGATCTCAAATATGTTTTCTTGAAAGCCCCTGTAGACTCACAACAACTTTGCTTCCCCAATAGTGATGGATCACTCTTCATGAATCTTCTACTCATAAACTTAAATGGTTTGCTCAATTCCAATGCTTATGCAATTGCTTTGATTAAGGAAGAAATTGGGTTGATGAAAGAATACCTACAGTTCATAAGATTGTTCTTTGGGAATGTTGAGCAAGAATTGAATAGGGATCTTTGGACTCGTGTTCTAGATGTGGCATATGAGGCAGAACATGTCATCAATTCAATTCTTGTCAGAGATCATGGTCTCTTGCACCTTATTTTCTTACTACCTGATACCGTTGAAAAGATCAAGCTTATCAAGAAAGAGGTACAGGAAAACATGAGTCTTATTGTTGTAAACTCTCCCAATAAACAAGTTGAAAGAAAGCCATCAAAAAAGCAAGTTGGGCAAATAATTGTAGGCTTTGAGGAGGAGAAAAACCTGTTAATTTCACAGCTTACCAATCGACTAGCAGAGCTAGATGTTATTTCGATCATTGGCATGCCTGGTGCAGGTAAAACTACTCTTGCGTACAAAGTATTCAATGATAAGTCAGTTACTAGTCATTTTGATATTCGTGCATGGTGTACAGTCGACCAAGAGTATGACAGCAAAAAGGTGTTGCATAAATTTTTTAATCAAGTCACTGGTTTAGATGCGGAATTTACCGAGGATTTTGATGTTTATGATGAGCTTCGAAAAACGCTGCATAGTAGGAGATACCTTATTGTTTTGGATGACTTGTGGGATACTAAAGCATGGGATGAGCTAACAATGCCTTTTCATGATTTTCAGAAAGGAAGTAGAATTATTTTAACAAGTCGAGAAAAGAAAGTGGCTTTGCATGGAAAACGTCATAGTGATCCTCTTAACCTTCGATTGCTAAGACAAGAAGAAAGTTGGGAGTTATTAGAGAAAAAGGTATTCGGAGAAGAAAGCTGCCCTGATGAACTAAGGGATGTTGGAGAAGAAATAGCCCTAAAGTGTGATGGTCTTCCTTTGGCACTTGATCTGATTGGTGGAATCATTGCGAAGATGGAAAAGAAAGAGGATTTGTGGCTGGAAGTTTTAAATAATTTGAAATCCTTTAAGAATGAAGGGGAGGTGATGGAGGTTATAGAGTTAAGTTATGACCATTTATTGGATCACCTAAAGCCATGCTTGCTCTACCTCGCAAGCTACCCAAAGGACACAAATATTCAAATCTCTCAATTGAATGACTTATGGAGTGCCGAAGGGTTTGCGGAACAAAATGACATAAAGAGTGTGGAAGAAGTATCTGAGTCTTATGTTGATGAGTTAATTTCTAGTAGCTTGGTAATACTTTTCAATGAGAGAGGTATCAGTGACCGGAGTATCAAAATTCATGATCTCGTGCATGATTTTTGTTCGAGAAAAGCTGAAAAGAAAAATTTGCTAGGCTTTGTAAGATCAAGGGATCCATCCTCTTTTTCAGATCTGATGCCACGGGGAATGATCATTCATTATGATCATTCAGAAGAAAGTTTTGTCCTGTTCAGCCCAGAAAAGAAAAATCCTTATGTTAAACACCTCCTCTCTTTGAAGGTAGACATGGATGAATATGGGATGCCCAACAAGCTTCCCGAAAACTGTCACCTAAGACACTTGAGGCTTCTTACACGGTTGGAGCTGCTCCACATAACTTTGACAGATTCTACGCTGAATGAAATAGGCATGCTTGTTCATTTGAGGTGCTTAAACATTCGAACAGAGGCAAGAGCTTTCCCTCCATCATTTGCAAACCTCTTGAATCTGGAAACTCTGGTGGTGGATAATGGTCGATCATTAATGGTAATATCACCTAGTATTTGGAGTCTTCCAAAGCTACGACATGTGAGCATGAATAAATTTTTTCTCTTTGAACCGACCATCGACAAACCAACAGTGTTAGAAGAAGAGTTGAAGTTAGAGAATTTGAGAATATTACATAAGCCCGCCATTTTCTGTTTGGAAGACAGAAAGGAGATATTCAAAAGGTTTCCCAATCTTCGAAACCTTAAATTCAGCATTACCATACCAAGGAATTTCAGATCAGATGCAATAGACGAGGAAATTTGTTTTCCAAGATTGGATGTCCTTAATGAACTTGAAGAAGTTTCTGCATATTTTAGCGTCAAGTGGCACAATGCACATCAGTGGGATTTTCACTTTCCTTTGAGCTTGAAAAAATTGGAGCTAAGACGGTTTGATCTGACATCCGATTCGCTATCAAGAATTGCGAGATTACCCAACCTTCAAAAACTGTGTTTACACAGCTTAACCATCCAGGGTAAAGAATGGAACGCTGAGGAAGTCACCTTCCACAGTCTCAAATCGCTAAAGTTGGCATGGGTGTCTTTTTCTGAATGGCAGGTTGGGGAGGAATCGTTTCCTGTGCTGGAAGAACTACAATTACGACACTGTACTGAGCTTACAGAGATCCCAGACAGTTTTGGGGATATTCCTTCATTGAAGTCCATCGCACTGGATAGCAACCCTCAACTCGAAGATTCAGCCCTAAGGATTAAGGAATATGTTTCAGAAATGACGGGAAAAGACAAGCTTGAGTTAAAGTAGTCCTTATATGCACAAATCTCTGTGAGTATATACGAATTTACTATCTTCTTCATACATTAATTAAGTTCCTTTTCAGTGTATTTTTTCCAATTACTTTAACCTCTACAATCTTGTTTGCAGAGCGCATATAAAGGTTTCCATACAATTTACTTTGGCCAACACATCAACCTGTAAAGGCTTCAAATGATGGATCATACTCAGACTTCTAATGTCTTATTCCAGCTGTTTCCTTTCCATTTCTTTTATTCCATTGTGGCCAAAAAACTGATTGTCATTTGTGACTCGGATTTCTGTTCAATTTCTTCTTCTTTTTTTTGGTGAGTAAAGCTGTTAAGGGACAGCAAAATTATCCTAGAAACAAAGTAGTATCTTATATATATCCCAAATTTGTTCTATTTCCTTCTTAAAAGTAACATATATTCTTTTCTTTTCTATTTCTACTTATATAGAAGAGCGGGAGAAGCAGCTCGAGGTCGTCATGTGTGCTTGCCGCTAGAGGTTATTCTGGTCATTTCAGGTTTAGTCTTTAATTTCTCTTAGAACAGCTGCAGGCACCCTAACACTGACAGCAGCAAAGTAGCCGCCTAGATTATGATCGGCGCTTGGTTTCTCTGTTGGTGGCTCAACGCGTGCACTTCCATTTTTTATATCCGGGTAAGTGACCGGTTCGTATTTTCAGTCATAACACTATCTGAAAGTTTCCCTCTCTCTGAACACCTCCTTGCAATCTCTGCTTTCTCTCACTGTTATTGTTGCTAATTGCACTTCAATGATTTTTCCTCGCTCCACTGTTATTTTCCGGTGTGTATGTTGGTCCTCATCTTGTGCTTCTTTCATCTTTGATGGCATGTTAGAAATTTGTGTTTCTTGAAGAATTAGGCTTCTGCGTATAGAAATTTAACATGCCAAGGCTTTTGTTCTCTAAATGTTTGAAAAAATTCTTCAATGAATTGTGCTTCCGGGGTGAGTTTAGTTCATACTAATTAGATTCCATATATTTTCCTTTTGGTTTTCTGCTGCGTTTGATTTATGTAATAATGAAGTTTTATACTTTAAAACCTCATAGCATAATGATAATTCCTTTTAAAAAGATTTGTGCTTTTGACAATTAAATTTTAGAATAAAAAGGGTTTGGCAGCATGTTTTAGACAATTTACCTGTAGTTCAGCAGATGCTCTAATAAAATACATCTTTTCCCACTGATTTCTTCTTTGTTTCAACTTTCAAGTGAGTGATGAATTTGTTATCACTGTAATCTATGAGTTTGTTTTGAATTATTGTAAGCTCTTTGCTGTTTTGATAGCAATTTGGTCGCTACTTTCGATTTTATGGAAAATATCTGTACCTTCCTCTTCAATGTTGATTTTTATCAATCTCATTGGTGCTTGTTTTTTGGGGTTTTCCAGGGCTAGCACAATGTCGTATGTTAATTAGTCAATTTTTGGTTTTATTGATTATGCTTTTTGAGAAATTTTGGACTGATTAAACATCTAAATCTTTTTATATGCTTTTCTCTACTGTTGCTTTGAATAATATGTTATTTTCAGTTCTGTATGTGAAACCATTTAGTAATGATTTTTAGTGATAGCAAGAACAATACTTCTTCCGTTTTTCTTCATAGAATAAGTTGTTTTCTTTTTTAGAATATATGTCAAAACATGAGTGTGCCTCAAATATTTATCTTTCTTCTATAAGTTTATTTTGTTGCAAGGTTTCTGAGCTGGGCTATAATCGTGTGCAAGAATAAACAATCTTTGTTCTAAGTTCAGCCTATTTTTTGGCATAATTGTTAAAAGTTAATTCCTGAGTTAGCAGTTGAAAAGTTTACGAAAGAAAATGAGAAAGAATGAAGTTTCTTCTTTTCACTCTCTTGAGGCAACTAATAGTGCAACTATGACAGAAATTCGTTTTCATGTTTTCAATAGTTTGCTCTAATCAACTTAAAACTATTTAAAATTTGAAAATAATTTGTATTTCTTCCAGTGGTGTAAAAGCTTTAATACGTTTAGCAATTTGACTATTTTTTGTATAAGTTACCAATAAATATTAAGAAGCCTCGTCTATCATTGTGCTCTTGTTTCTATTGTACACTAAAACCATAGTCAATGTTCAAAGTTTCTGCCATGTACAAAAACTAATTCTATAATAAGAAACAATTATAGTATTAATTCGTTTGCTTTCCAGCATTACCACTATTGAATTCTTTATTTTGGTCGTCATCTTATTTGCCTAGAGTAACAAATACATACTTTGAACTGTAACTCTCTATATCTGTTTGTAGAACCTTTCATATATAGAAATCGTTGTTACTGCAGATTTGATGTTAAAATTTTATAGATTGCTTGAACTGCAAATGTCGACTGTTGAAAAGCATTTACCGTCAGCTTGTTCAGAAAAGGAAGCAACAGTACTCAACAGAAACCGTCTCTAAAATTAACCGTAGGAGACGTGATCTATACAAGCAGTTATCGGTTGATAAAAAAGAATTGCTTTTAACGCACTGCCGATCAAAAAAACTTGAATTAAAAAACGATTCGACTGCGCTGCTTGAATATACGAAACAAGCTGCTGGGTTTGAGCTGCATACAGAAAAACCTCTGACAATAGTCGACGCACCATGCGTTGCTGAGAAAGGTTAGAAACCAAAAAAGATTTATTCGAGCAAAAGACACATCTTTTGTAGACAGAAATATATGCATGTATATATGTGTTTTTCGTCGTGATCGTACTTAAATACAATTTGCTCTTACTAAACACATTTGGATTTGCATATTAGCAGGTATATCTTCAGTTGTAGGGGCAGTAGTTGATTGTCACAAGGGAAAAAATATTACTGATCACTTCTCCGTTTTTGAACATGGTAAGTGAGTGAAAATATGTTTTTACAGCTTGACTGTACTCCCTTTTAATATATTAATTAGAATTATTTGTATGTCAAGTTCGACCTCTGGTGCACCTTGTGACCAACATCATATAGAGACATCTGCTGTCATAAACAAAGGTTTGTCTCAATTTAATTTTATATTACCACTTGCTGTTTCTTTCTTCTCAACACTCATAGGATATATTGTTGCAACTAATATACACAGGTTCTAAATCAAAAATAAAAAGTTGGAACTGGAACATTAGAGAACTACCCACTGATGCAACCATTTTAAAAATTGTACCAGACTGTAAATATTGTGGAGCAAAAAGATTTGAATATGAGCCGCCAACATTTTGTTGTAGCAATGGTTCAGTTAAGTTGACGTCACATGAAATGCCTAATGAACTCTTGAGTTTATATTTAGGCAGTACCGAAGAATCTGAACACTTCCGTACCTACCTTAGATTATACAATAATATGTTTGCATTTGCTTCCCTTGGAGTGAACTATGACAAAGTACTAGCAAAAAGAAACCAAGGAATTTATACATTTAGAGTACAAGGTCAAATGTATCACTTTATAAATGATTTAATTCCAACAAATCGGCAACCAAGAAATTTACAGTTGTATTTTTACGATGAGAATGCAGAAATATTAAATCGAATGGCTTCGTCGGATATACTTCGACAATCGATTGTTGAGAAACTAATGAACATACTAAAGATAAATCCTTATTGTATCTTCTTGAAATCTCTAATACATATTCCAGAATTATCAAACTTTTATATTGCATTAAGATGTGGCTCTGGCTTAGATCAACGAGTATATAACCTGCCAACTGTGTCAGAAATAGCAGCATTATGGCTGGAACAAGAAACAAGCAATAATAGTTCTGCACCCCATGTTCGAATTTATACTCACAGTAACAAAAGCCAATTAGTAAATTACTATTATGGTTGCTATGATCCTTTGCAATATCCACTTTATTTCCTTATGGTCAAAACGGCTGGCACTGCGGTATTCCAAAATCGAACAACCTAGAAATAAATTGAGAAATCGAGCTTATTATGAGACCGAGCAGCTTCCGAGTGTCTCTAACATGTGTTCTATTGATGGATTACTTGATATGGAAGCAGATGTTCTGCAAAAGGGGAAACGAAAAAGAAATAATGTTTCTTGTCGTGAATACTACTGTTACAAATTCCAGATGAGAGATAATGAGGAAAACGGAGTTTTACATTCTGGTAGATTATTTCAACAATATTCAGTTGATGAATTCATAAAAGTAGAAACTTAGAGATTAGATTTTGCCTCATTTAACCAAGATTTATTTCGGATTGATGTACTACAAGGACTTTTAGATATCGTGAGACTTGGCGAAAGAGAAGCTTCTAAGATAGGAAAACAAAACTTTCTTCCAACAAGTTTTACGGGTGGTCCAAGAGATATGCGTCAATGTTATATGGATTCTATCGCGTTAGTGCAGCATTTTGGAGAGCCTGATATATTTCTGACCATAACATGTAATCCCTCTTGGCTTGAAATAAAGGAACATTTGCTCCCAACAGACGAAACTCAAAATAGGCCTGATTTAATTAGTCGAGTATTTAGAGTAAAGGTAGAAGAGATGAAAACAGATATATCAAAAAGAAACATATTTGGAAAAGTTGCAGCCTTTATGTACAATATAGAATTTCAAAAATGCGGTCTTCCACATGCCCATTTTCTTGTTATACTTATTGATGATTACTAATTATTAACGCCCGAGGCTTATGACAAATTTGTTTGTGCTGAGCTGCCTGACCCTGATACATACTCTTACTTACATAAGCTTGTCGTTAAACACATGATGCATGGGCCTTGTGGTCATTTAAATCCTACAAATTTATGTATGAAAAGAAATGAGTGCAAATTTAAGTACCCCAAGAGCTTCGCTGATGAGATGACGAAAGGAAAGAACTCATACCCAATTTATAGAAGACGAAATACTGGTAAATCTGTTAAAGTTAGAAAACAATTTCTTGATAACTCATGGGTTGTTCCCTACAACCCCTATCTGCTATGTAAATACAATTGCCATATAAATGTAGAGGTTTGCTCCGACACTAAAGTTGTGAAATATATATACAAATATATCTGCAAAGGACATGATAAGATATCATTTGACTTACACGAAGATAACACAAATATACAAATAGATGAGATAAAAGAGTATCAATCTGCTAGATGGGTGTCACCTCCAGAAGCTATGTGGCGCTTATTTGCGTTTCATATTAGTGAAATGACTCCGAGTGTTTATCACCTCCCATTACATCTTGATGGACTACAATTTGTCTCTTTTAAAAAAACCGACACAATAGATAGTATCATAAAAAATCCTATGATTAAGAAGACGATGTTGACAGAATTCTTTTTGATGAATGAAACAAACAAAGATGCTAAAGAGCTTAAATTACTGTATAAAGATTTTCCACAACACTTCGTATGGTCATCTACCTATAAAATGTGGACTCGACGACAACAAGGTCACGTTATTGGCCGGGTAGTAACATGTCATCCAATAGAGGGAGAAAGATATTACCTTAGATTATTACTAATGAATGTGAAAGCACCAAAATCATACAAAGATCTTCTAATGGTAAATGGAATATGCTGCGACACATTTAGAGAATCTGCAGAAAAAAGAGGGTTGTTACACTATGACAACAACTTGATTGGATGTTTGTTAGAGGCTGCATGTTATCAAATGCCTTATAGTTTAAGACGTTTATTTGCTACAATATTAGTATACTGCAGCCCTGCCAATCCAAGAGAATTGTGGGAATAGTTTGAAGATTCCATGTCCGAAGATTTTAAAATCCTAGCCAATATAACGGCAAAAGATATCCACCTCGCTGTTCTAAATCACATTAATGATATACTACATTCTATGAGTCGTGATATTAATGAGTTCAATCTTGTTTCAAAAAATATTACATCTTCGAAAATGGCAAATGAAGCATATTTCGAAAGAAATATCGTCGTGAGTAACGAAGATTTGTTGTTACATAGAAAATTAAATACAGAACAAAAAATAGCATACAACATAATCTTGCAAAGAGTATTTGCCAATGAATCAGGAGCATTTTTTATTGATGGTCCTGGAGGAAGTGGTAAGACGTTTTTTATATTGTGCCTTATTAGCAACTGTGAGATCTAAAGGATTTGTAGCATTAGCAACAACAACTTCTGGAGTTGCAGCTTCGATCCTTCCAGGAGGACGAACAGTTCATTCACGTTTTAAATTTCCGATTAATATTGATGAAAATTTTTCTTGCAATATTAGCAAGCAAAGCTCACTGACATCTTTGATTCGTGATGCAAAATTGATTGTGTGGGATGAAGTATCAATGGCTAAAAAGAACATGATTGAAGCTTTAGATTCTCTCTTGAAAGATGTAATGAACACAAATGTGCTTTTCTTTTGAAAAGTTGTTGTGTTTGGAGGGGATTTTAGACAAACACTTCCCGTGGTTCGAATTGGAAAAAAGGAAGATTTCATTCAGGAAAGCATATTGAACTCCGAAATATGGAACGAACTTGAAAAACTACGATTATCAGAGAATATGCGTGCCAAAACTGATCCCTCTTTCTGTGAATATTTGATGCTAATTGGAAATGGAAAAGAAAAAACAAACATGGATAATAAAATAGAAATTTCGAGGTCTTTCATTGTTCCTTATATTACTGAAAAAGAATCTTTGGATCTTTTATTCAACATAATATATCCTAATTTGCACATGTCTCTTCGCAATTCTTCTTTTTTAACTTCACACGTTATTTTGACGACAAAAAATGACTTTGTTGATGAAATAAATGAGAGACTTATAGCTCAATTCCCTAAAGAAGCTAAAACATTTATTGCAATGGATGAAACTGTTGAACCAAATGATCAAAGCCAGTTTGAGGATTTTTTACATTCATTGAACCCTGCTGGTTTGCCTCCTTACAAATTAATCTTGAAGGAAAATTGTCTTGTTATGTTGTGAAATTTAAATCCTTGTGAAGGTTTATGCAACGGTACACGACTGATATGCTGTGATTTTATGAGTCGTGTTATAAGCGCTAAAATTGCGAGTGGTGATTTTAAAGATACACATGTATTTATTCCTAGAATACCATTATTATCTTCAGATGATGAGAAGTTACCAATCCCATTTAAAAGAACTCAATTTCCAATACGCCTGTGTTTTGCAATGACGATAAATAAAGCGCAAGGGCAAACATTAAATTATGTTGGTATTTATTTGCGTGAGCCAGTGTTTTCTCATGGCCAGCTATATACTGCTTTATCCAGAGCAAAGAGTTCAAGTTGTATTAAAATATTAATCCAACCACCTACCATAGATAACGATGATGACCATTCTACATATAACATAGTGTATAACGAAATCATTCAAAAAGCACTTCTATAAGTCTGTAGCTTTCTTCTTTATACTCCTGATTTAGCCTTCTATTCTTTATTTCAATAATTTTCTTGAGACTTGAGATAATTTCTCTGCAATTTACTATGTGCTAAATAAGAGTTGGCTTGTGTATCTACAAATCCTTCCTAAACTTTTACTCATTTGATATTGTTTTTTGATGCACAATATACAAATCAAATTATTTACATTGTGAACATCCAAAACCAATAAGTCAAATCATTCATCTTTGCAAATCTATAAATACAAAAGCTACTTGCATATTTATGTGATTTTTTTTCAACTCTGTGAAGCTGACCTGGCTGACATTTACATCAGGAAAAAGATAATGTTTTTACCTCCGCCTGTGTTCAAATTATATTGTAACACAGGCGATCCCAAGCCCGAACAAAGGAGGAGGGTCTATTGTCTATTGGTAATAGCAATTGTATTTTATTTCTTCATTTGAATGTACTTAGTGATTTCCTCTTATAAATTTTTATACATCACTATTCAATATGTTGGCGAAAAAAAAATCTATTGTTCGTTTAAGAAACGAAATGAGAAATAAGTTTATTTATCTTCTATTTTGATGTCTTTATGTTCCTTTACTGCTTACTAACACATATAATCTGTGTTGCAGGTATTTTAAAGAGATCTTCTAAAGTAAAATGTTTTCACAAGCTGGTACTAACAGGTACTGTCACACTAACCAAATTTTGATATAGTAATTTCATTTTCTACCTTAGAGATTTTTTCATTATTTGATTTTATATGGATATCTTTGCATATTTCAATGATGTGATTAGTTTTACTACTGGAAGTTATCCAATTAATCTTCTTTAATGTCTTTATTATATTCATTCAAGTATTATGCATACATACAAATAATTAACATCATATATATTTAACAGAAAAAGCAGGCAGGAGACCGTCGACATCCCTGCTTGCTGACAGAGGGCAATTTGGTCTTTCTACTACTTCTGTGCTAGGTATAATTCCTTTTGTGTCCCTGCACTTGCTGATTTGTGTCTTCCCGAGAAAATCTAAATATGTAATTTTGTAGTCTCCATTGACGACTACCAACGATTTTGTTTCGCTTTTGGCAGAAGTGAAATCAGGTGCTTTGCTTGGTATTTTGCAGTTCCATATTTGCTCTATTAAAGTAATGGTTGAATCCTTCTTGATTTTGTGAAATTAACTGCTTGAAGAGAAATTGGTGTTTCAGCCAACTTATCTTGTCTTTGTTACTATGTTTTTTCATAGCAACTCCATTTCCATAAGTGAGGACTCAAAGAATTCATTAAAAGAAGATTTTAGGGCTATGTCCAGCGGCATCCCAACCACAATCATCAATTTTTGAATATATCAACAAAACAACAAAGACTACTGCTGTAAATTAATGGGAATGGAGACAACTGATAGAGTGAGTTAAAATTCTTGTGAGTTAAAACTCTTTAACAGTAACTCATGTTGGTATTAGCTACTATAATTTTCCAAAGAAAGTTTTAAGCTCCATTATTCAAAACTTCGGTTTTAAAGAGATGAATACTATGTTATATGCTTTTGCTGTCAAGTAACTACTGCTTTGTAAATCCAAATGAAAATAGTGATACCCTTGTCCTATAGTTAAAGTGTTAGAAGAAATTTCTGTTTCTTATTGATGGATCCCCTCAAACTGATGCAGACTTTGTCAAAGGCTCATTTAATCAACCTATTTATATGAGCTTTTACAGATGAATCTTTACTCTTTTAAGTCAAACTGTAATATAACTTATAAATCAACCCTGTTTAAAAGTTAAATATAGTAACTTAAATGAAAAAGGTCTACAAATAACTATAAATTGGGATTGCCATTGTCAGCTAGAATATACTTGTTCTTGATATAGATGGAATCACAGGCTCATTGATGCAATCCATAAAATTTGAAGCTTTATTGTTCCTGATGGTAAGTTTCATAGTTTTTTTGGTATGCACTTCCAGGTATAGCAAGTGAATATCTTCTGTTCGGTTACGCAGACGGAGTTCTTACTGCAACTTCAGTCCAGAAAGGAATCATTTTTTCTCCTCTCGAAGAGATAATCTGCTAAAAATATTTGAGTTAATTATGAAGCTGGTAAGTGTATATGCACGAGAAATAAAAGATCTTGATATTTTTGATTGATACCAAATCCCCGGCCTACATCAATGTATATACTACATTGCAAATAAGAAAGATTTCAATTTTTAGTTTTTCGCTGGTTACTATAACTGTGATGAACAACCTGTTGAAGTTTGGCAAAATGCCAAAGTCCCACATTGGTTGGGAGTTAAGTTTGGGGGGG